TTAATACCGTAGAAGTAGAAGAACAACGCCAGTCAAAGCGGAAGTTGCTACATTGTAAGATAGTATCTGAAACATTCGTGCTAGAAGCCTTCAATAAATATATCCTCTTCTCAATCTCCAAAATGCAACAGCCACAGGACAACTTTGTTTGGAAGTCGTAAAGGATCGTTAGCCAAAACGGAAGAGATAAAGCTAGCTTGCTACCTCTTTTTCCACGTGGGAAAAAAAAAGGAGGACAAGGACGTGTTAGCTACGTTAGCTTGCTAGCTAGCTGGCTTTTCTACAAGGAATTTGGTGAGTTGACTAGCTAGCTTCTGTTCAACAACAGCTGTAGGCGGATTAATGTTTTTTGTGCACTTAAGAACGACGAATGTTGACAGTCTAGATATGACGATATCGTTAATAATTCCAGTTTTGTGAAGCATAAACCAACACGGCAGTGCAGGCCCTTTCCTGGCGGTTCTGCCGCCCTAGGCGTAACAACAACACAAAAGCCGCCCTCCGCAAAACTAGAATAGTGTAGCCAGTGTCTGCCCACAGTGGAATGTTATGAATGCCCATCCATGTGATACCGTTTGTAAAACAGAGTTGCATTGCTTTATTAGTCCTGATTCCTGTGACTAATCATTTTGGCTATTTAAGCTCTGAATATCAGCTACCCAACTTTATCAGTGAGCCTATTTGCAATGGAAGTCAATGTATTTACACAGTAGGAAATGCTGAAGTATTTTCTTTTTTTTTGCTATGATCAGTTCGTCAAAAACATTTTACGAATATAAACTTGAAACCACTGATTATCATGACAATTTCGCCCACAGGTTGAAACTCCTGGACAGCAGGTGTGAGTACCCTGATTTTTAGGATGTAGTAATTCACATCGAATAACTTTTTTTATTTATGATAGGCTATTTGATCGGAGAAGCGTGCATGCATAATGTAAAAAGTGTGTTTCATGACATTGTCATAGCCTACACACTGGAGATTTAATCTATGTAAAACGCCACTTACTCTTTCTTCCGTAGGCTAGGCTACATGATTTATGTAGATTGTTTTTTGACGGAACGTTGATGGAGCGACGCATCTCTCCAACAGCACGCTGGGCACGGACCAGCTAAATATTTTGCGAAAATAATAAATGTTTGTCTGCCACCAATAAAAAAAAAAAAATTCATAAATGAATAATATAAATCGTAAAATGTATCAGTTTCACTTACAGTCAAGAGGGTTGACAACTATGCCGCATAAAATTCAAGATCGTTGGGAACAGATCTTGGACGACCCAATATCATGGAATCAGGTTTATGAACTGATATACAAAACAACAATTGATGCATTGACTTAACCTAGTTAAATAAAAATAAATAAATGCATCAATTCGTTCTTTTCAATTTAAGCTATTATATAAAATGTATCGCTCCAAAAAGAATGCTCAATATATGGGGTATTCAACAGTCAGACCTGTGCATACTCCGCCATGCGGACACAGAATCAATAGAGGATCTATTTGGTACTCCGCCATGCGGACACAGAATCAATAGAGGATCTATTTGGTACTGTCCATTAGTGCTGGGCGATGAGGCCTAAAACTCATATCTCTATTTTTTCCCCCTCAAACTTATGGCCGATTCACAATATCTTGATATTTAAAAAAAATGTTTTCTCTAAAATAAGCTTTGTTGTACAATTAAAGGTAAAATACAGTGTATTTAAAACGATCAGGCTGATTATATGCTGAATATATGCCTTCCACAACCATAAGACCCACTAATAATGTAATTATTTTATCAAAATAGTTGTACCTGCTTTTTTTTTGCAGTCACTGATCTGGCTTTCAGGTCTGTCTATAAAAATGCAGTTTTTGTTACAACTTTAACCAGAACCATGCATAATGCACATTCACTAGTAATGACTAACTTCTGGTAGCAGGCATTATAGAAAATAAACACAAGTCTCATAAACTCTCTCTCAAGCACAAGCCACGTAATTATCACAGCTAATATTTATATTTCAAGTTTAGCCAACTTGAATCTATTTGCTAGAACAAGGTTGAACAGTTGAATTGATATGAACACACCCTTCTGTCCATCGCCAACTGTTTGAACAACATGCTAGCCTGTCCACTGTGTTCAGATGTTGAAATCAAAGAGGCCTACCTTATTTCTCAGAATGAGAACGAGCTGCCAGTTCCTTTATATAATTGTGTTTTATTCTTATTGCACATTTATAAAACACAGACTAGACAGCTAGTATAACAATCTTTATTTTACTAAAATGCTGCTAGCGATACGTGGTACGGTAAGGCGCGTGCGACAAACTGAGCATTCATTTTCCAGAATGAATGTTCATTGGTAAATCTGTTTTAGTAGTGTCTGCTCTGCTCGAAATTTGAGTTAAAACATAAACAGGTTATGGTTCAAAAGGTTAGCTTCTCCTCTATTACAGTAAAATAATGTCTCAATGTGTTTCTGTGTCCATATGACCGAGTCTGTTGGACCAAAGCTCAAATGCAAATAGCGAGTTGAAACCGCATGTCAGAGACAAAGAAGTGATCTCATCTTTGTTGTTGTGAGTGGTAGGGGGAGGGGCTTGGGAGACGGTTTCACATTCGCCAAAATCTGTCCAAAATAAGGCCAATACGTTTCTATGGGTTTATTTTGAACCTAAGCTTGTTGCCTGTCTTAACACCTTTGGGACAACGACTCCCATTGTTATGGCGGAGACATGAGCATCTCATCATTATAAACAGATCTCTGGTGTAAATGGGGAAGTGCACACAGGAGGAGGGGCTTGGTGTCAGGAGGAGGGGCTTGGTGTCAGGAGGAGGGGCTTGGTGTCACAGCATCCTACAATCAGGGGTAGAGATGGGATTCATGTATGTTTTGCTTTTCACTATTTATGTTTTGGTTTCATGCTGTTAGCGGTGTGTTCTGGTCCTGGTAGTGTCATGCTATTAGCGGTGTGTCCTGGTCCTGGTAGTTTCATGCTATTAGCGGTGTGTGTGCTGGTCCTGGTAGTGTCATGCTATTAGTGGTGTGTGTGCTGGTCCTGGTAGTTATGGGTGCGGTCACTTCCATGTCCGTCCAGGTGACGGGCAGGACTTGGTTTTTCCAGCCCTTGGAAAATGTCTTTGGACCTGGGCGGGGCCTTGCCAACGTCTCGGGGCGAGTGGGGGCGCGAGCACCCCCTGACCAGAGCACCCCCTGACCAGAGCACCCCCTGACCAGAGCACCCCCTGACCAGAACACCCCCTGACCAGAACACCCCCTGACCAGAACACCCCCTGACCAGAGCACCCCCTGACCAGAGCACCCCCTGACCAGAGCACCCCCTGACCAGAGCACCCCCTGACCAGAGCACCCCCTGACCAGAGCACCCCCTGACCAGAACACCCCCTGACCAGAACACCCCCTGACCAGAGCACCCCCTGACCCCCTGACCAGAGCACCCCCTGACCAGAACACCCCCTGACCAGAGCACCCCCTGGCCCAACTGACCCGTCTTTTTACTGGCCCATCGTTAATGTCAGACCCTGCACGACAAAGAAAATAAATGAATGTGCCAGAAAACAATAGGCTAAGTGGATTTCGACTCATCGTTCCCACATTATATGGGACGTGCAAATTCATGCTTTCTCCCTCCGTGTAGAAATGTGCTTCGGAGCGGGTCACATGCCGCTACCAGGCGGGCTACAGTCATTGGACCATATCCCCAACGCTGTCGCTATAGACCACGTCTCGTTAATCAGTCATTGGACCATATCCCCAACACTGTCGCTATAGACCACGTCTCGTTAATCAGTCATTGGACCATATCCCCAACGCTATCGCTATAGACCACGTCTCGTTAATCAGTCATTGGACCATATCCCCAACGCTATCGCTATAGACCACGTCTCGTTAATCAGTCATTGGACCATATCCCCAACACTGTCGCTATAGACCACGTTTCGTTAATCAGTCATTGGACCATATCCCCAACGCTATCGCTATAGACCACGTCTCGTTAATCAGTCATTGGACCATATCCCCAACACTGTCGCTATAGACCACGTCTCGTTAATCAGTCATTGGACCATATCCCCAACGCTATCGCTATAGACCACGTCTCGTTAATCAGTCATTGGACCATATCCCCAACGCTATCGCTATAGACCACGTCTCGTTAATCAGTCATTGGACCATATCCCCAACGCTATCGCTATAGACCACGTCTCGTTAATCAGTCATTGGACCATATCCCCAACACTGTCGCTATAGACCACGTCTCGTTAATCAGTCATTGGACCATATCCCCAACGCTATCGCTATAGACCAAGTCTCGTTAATCAGTCATTGGACCATATCCCCAACACTGTCGCTATAGACCACGTCTCGTTAATCAGTCATTGGACCATATCCCCAACGCTATCGCTATAGACCACGTCTCGTTAATCAGTCATTGGACCATATCCCCAACACTGTCGCTATAGACCACGTCTCGTTAATTAATAAGTAATCAGAGGTCTAATATTGGGGCTACGGTTTTAAATGTCCAAATTCCTCAATATGCTGAAATAAGTTGATCTGTTGAAGACCAAGACATACAAATTCCTCTCTACTCACACGTGTCACACTTGTATTTTCCTAAATTAGTACCTTTTTTAAAAACGGCTCACGCGCCAATATTTACTAAGCGGTCACTTCAGACTGAAATTGATGAATTTGTTCTACTGTAATAAATAGCGCGCAAATTAATCACTCACATCGATATTGTATTGAAATCAATGAAACGGGGACAATAGCCCTTCTAAAAAGACAAACCACAATGAGCTTGGGAATCAACTTCCTGTTGATAGATGACAACCTGTAGCAGCCATTTATCAACTCATCTCCTTGTGCCACAATGCAGGGTTCCAGACTAACATTGGACTTCCTGCTGTCTTCTTCTACTACAGGTCATCTAAAGTGTATGGACTTCCTGCTGTCTTGCCATTGACTGCATTGTCATTGTTCCCACCAGCAGGACAACATGAGTGGAGAGAAGGAAACGTTGTTGGAAGAAATCGAACAGAGGTTACACCGTCTAACCGAGGACAATTTACGATACCTGTGTGAACGCTGTGGAATTGATGGCTCCCAAGTTAAAGGAAAGAACCATCGCTCGTTACGACGTAAAATCATGGAGGAAATGTGGGAAAATGCAGATTCGGTGAAATCGGAAGAGCAGGGAATGTCTTGGTTACTCCAACTGAAAGAGGACATCAGAAAGATACAGGAAGAATCTAGTGTGGCACCCATGAGTCCCAGACAGTCTGATGACGATGCTACAGACTGCGATGAAGAATGGGACGTGGAGGACAACGATGGAGAGGGAGATTCAGATTCGATGTCATCAAGTAGGAACAATGGTGTGTGGATTAACTACAATCTGCTTCTGTAACAGTTCATTTATCAATATTTATTAATTGATCCATATTTGCAAAACGTTTCTATTCCGTGTTATATAGCAGTTCATCTGTGTTGGATAGGGAAGATACTTCAACACTAGTTTATTGTTAAATACTTTGGTACATATGAGGAACCTTAACTTCATGTCTTTATTTCACAGGGGACAGCCCTAACGGTCGCTCGCTCAGTGGGAGGGGCTTATCATCTGGGAAGGCTCCAGGGTTGAAAGTGATCCAGCGCCCTTATAGCTGTGACGTATGTGAGAAAAGTTTCCCTCATTTAGGAGACCTAAAGAGACACCAGAGAATACACACAGGAGAGAAACCATATGGCTGTATTCAATGTGGGAAGAGTTTCCGTCAGCCAGGACAACTGACTAAACACAAGCTAACCCACACTGGAGAGAAATCTTATCGCTGTGATCAATGTGGGAAGAGTTTTGGCCGAGCCGATTCCCTGACTGAACACAAGCGAACACACACAGGAGGGAAATCTTATGTCTGTGATCAATGTGGGAAGAGTTTAACTACCTTAGGAGCGCTGACTATACACCATAGAATTCACACAGGAGAGAAACCATATGTCTGTGCAATATGTGAAAAGAGTTTCCGTCAGTCAGGACAACTGACTATACACAAGCGAACACACACAGGAGAGAAACCGTATAACTGTGATCAATGTGAGAAGAGTTTTGCTGAAGCTGGTTCCCTGACTGAACACAAACGAACACATACAGGGGAGAAACCATATGTCTGTGAGCAATGTGGGAAGAGTTTCACCACCTTAGGGAACACTGACTATACACCAGAGAATTCACACAGGAGAGAAACCATATGTCTGCGCTATATGTGGAAAGAGTTTCCGTCAAACTGTACAACTGACTAGACACAAGAGAACACACACAGGAGAGAAATCTTATAGCTTTGATCAATAAGGGGATTCGATCATCTCGCCTGGGTTGCCCCAAAACAAAAGTGACGTAGCTCATGGAGTAATGAGTAGAATTCTGTGTTTTCACATGCAAAAGTAATTGCTTTTGATAAAATCACTATCTGCCTTCCCATTGAAAACTCATTTAAACAGATTTTATGGAAAATAGATGTTTTCTGGACGATGCACCATGCTGCCTTGTTGACAACATGAGCGAGCGGTGCAGATTACTGTTGGACTTGATTTGAGAAGGGCGCTCCGCCCTCACCGCTTTTGCCCGTTCACGTCACGGCCCATAGACCGGTGCTTGGCATAACCCAATCCGCCCACTGACTATACATACACAAGCTAACACACACGGGAGAGAAGCCTTTCCAATGCTCTGTGGAAAGAGTTATAACAACGTGAGGCTTTTGAAATCGCAGGAGAGAAACCATATGGCTGTGTTTCTATGTGGAAACAGTTTCCGTCAGCCAGTACAACTGACTAGACACAAGCTAACTCACAGGGGAGAGGGGCTGTAATCAATGTGGGAAAAGTTTTGCTCGAGCAGAGTACCTGACTGAACACACACAAACTCACAGTTGAAGATGCACAAGCGAACGCACACCGGAGAGAGACATTACAGGTGTGGTCTCCGTGGGGTCTGCTTTGAGTTTAGCTTATTAGGATCCCCATTAGCTACAGCACATGCAGTCTCTCCTGGCTCAGAGTGGAAGACAGATTCACTTCATCACTGCTTGTTTTTGTAAGAGGTGTTGACAAGCTGAATGTACCGCGCTGTCTGTTTGGAATACTGGCACACAGCTCGGACACCCATGCATACCCCACAAGACATGCCACCAGAGGTCTCTTCACAGTCCCCAAGTCCAGAACAGACTATGGGAGGCGCACAGTACTACATAGAGCCATGACTACATGGAACATTATTCCACATCAGGTATCTGATGCAAGCAGTGGAATCAGGTTTGTTTAAAAACAGGTAAAAATACACCTTATGGAACAGCGGGGACTGTGAAGAGACACAGACAAAGGTACAGACACATGCATACGCATACATTGTGATATTGTTGTATGGTGGCGTTGAACATTTTGCATTGTAGATAGGTAGTGGTGTAATAATGTTATATGATGTACTGTTTTATATGTATATGTAATGTGTTTTAATATGTTTGGACCCCAAGAAGAGTAGCTAATGGGGATCCCTAATAAATATAAAAATACTCTTCCTGGGGTCTATTATTTACAGCATATTCAGCAGCTACTCTTCCTGGGGTCTATTATTTACAGCATATTCAGCAGCAACCCTTCCTTCCAAATGCATGACAGAGTATAGGACAGTAATAGACTAGAACATAAGACACCAAGAGACAACAAACATACTATTTACACACTTCATATATACATATTCTTATATACAGGTAAATGAGATCTTTAGAAAGACGAGAGACGCTGTGATACAATGTTTTTTTATTCTCTTTTTTTTTTTTTAGCTAAACGTGCTTTTTCCTCTGGTGGCGTCTTATCGTAGCATCCCACAATGACCTGCTCTATACACTGAGCAACGCATTACATCTGTTTTTGGTTTTGGTACCGTGAAGAAACCCATAGTGGCGTGTCTGGTGTGGTATGTACAGTACATTCGAAAAGTACTCGTACTTATTCCAAAATTGACATAAAAAAAAATAAAAATCCTCATGAATCTACACACAATACCCCATAATGACAAAGCGAAAACAGGTTTTTAGATTTTTTTGCAAATGTATTACAAATTAAAAACAGAACCTTATTTACATAAGTATTCAGACTCTTTGCTATGAGACTCGAAATTGAGCTCAGGTGCATCCGGTTTCCATTGATCATCCTTGAAATATTTCTACAACTTAATTGGAGTACACCTGTTGTAAATTAAATTGATTGGACATGATTTGGAAAGGCACACACCTGTCTATATAAGATACCACAGTTGACAGTGCATGTCAGACCAAAAACCAAGCCATGAGGTCGAAATAATTGTCCGTATAGCTCCGAGACAGGATTGTGTCGAGGCACAGATCTGGGGATGGGTACCAAAAAATGTCTGGAACATTGAAGGTCCCCAAGAACTCAGTGGCCTCCATCATTCTTAAATGGAAGAAGTTTGGAACCACCAAGACTCTTCCTAGAGCTGGCCAAACTGAGCAATCGGGGGAGAAGGGCCTTGGTCAGGGCGGTGACCAAGAACCCAATGGTCACTCTGACAGAGCTCCAGAGTTCCTCTGTGGAGATGGGAGAACCTTCCAGAAGGACAACCATCCCTGCAGCACTCCACCAATCAGGCCTTTATGGTAGAGTGGCCAGACGGAAGCCACTCCTCAGTAAAAGGCACATGACAGCACGCTTGGAGTTTCCCAAAAAGCACTTAAAGGACTCTCAGATTCTCTGGTCTGATGAAACAAAGCTTGAACTCTTTGGCCTGAATGCCAAGCGTCATGTTTGGAAGAAACCTGGCACCATCCCTACGGTGAAGCATGGTGGTGGCAGCATCATGCTATGGGGTTGTTTTTCAGCGGCAGGGACTGGGAGACTAGTTAGGATTGAGGGAAAGATGAACGGAGCAAAGTACAGAGAGATCCTTGATGAAAACCTGCTCCAGGACAACGACCCTAAGAACACAGCCAAGACAACGCAGGAGTGGCTTCGGGACAAGTCTCTGAATGTCCTTGAGTGGCCCAGCCAGAGCCCGGACTTGAACCCGATCTAACTTCTCTGCAGAGACCTGAAAATAGCTGTACAGTGACGCTCCCCATTCAACCTGACAGAGCTTGAGAGGATCTACAGAGAAGAATGGGAGAAACTCCCCAAATACAGGTTAGCGTCATACCCAAGAAGACTCAAGGCTGTAATCGCTGCCAAAGGTGCTTCAACAAAGTACTGAGTAAAGGGTCTGAATACTTATGTCAATGTGAAGAAGAAAAATGTCTAAAAACTTGGGAATAGGGTCTGAATACTTATGTCAATGTGATATTTCCGTTATTTAAAAAAAGTAAAAATGTCTAAAAACCTGTTTTCTGCTTCAACCATGAAAGACTATCATGCATGTTGTTGTTAGTTCTGTATGTGCAGTTAAGGTCAAGTTGTGCTGCTCTGTTTTGAGCCAGCTGCAGCTTTGCTAGGTCTTTCGTTGATGCCCTTGACCATATTACCAGACAGTAATCAAGACGGGACAAGACCAGAGCCTGAACAACGAGTACAGTTGAACTTTATGTCAAAAAAACGCAGAACATCTTTTTATAACAGACATACCCCCTCCCCATCTTCACAACAACTTTGTCAGTATGACTTGACCATGATAACTGACCATCCAATGTTACTCCTAGGAGTTCAGCTTCCTCAACTTGCTCAATGGTCACACCCAACTCCAGTTGTGGTTTAGGTCTTAGAGAATGGTTTGAACCAAATACAATGCTTTTAGTTTTAGATGTATTTAAGTCCAGTTTATTCTGTAACTCTATCTCCTCAAGCTCGCTGGCTGTAGGTGCTGATGTGTAGAGTCTGCAGTCATCAGCATACATAGTCATTTTAGCTTCTTGTAAGACAAATGGCAAATAATTTGTAAAGATAGAGAAGAGTAACGGCCCAAGGTGTGTGTGTGTTTGATGGCATGTTGAGGGTTTCACACACTTGTGATGGGTTGTAGGTAGCTTAGTGGGTAAGAGCGTTGTGCCAGTAACCGAAAGGTCGCTGGTTCTAATCCCTGAGCCGACTAGTGTGAAAAATCTGTCGATGTGCCCTAAGCAGGCACTTAACCCTAATGCTCCTGTAAGTCGCTCTGGATAAGAGCGTCTGCTAAATGACTAAAATGTAAAATGTAAAATGTTGTATTTACTTCAACATTTTAGTCGTTTGACGCGCTTATCCAGAGCGACTTACAGTAAGTGCATTCATCTTAAGATGGCTGAGAGAATCACTTTAAAATGGCCTCTATTGTCAATTAAATAATGTAGAATGTTTTGGTAATGTTATAGTGAGAGTTTTCATGTTGTAATTCAATGTTATAGTAAGAGTTAATGCTTTTATTCAATTTAATAAAAATTGAATGCATATGTTGTTAATACATACCAAGTATTTTGCTTTTAATATTATTAAATACAAAGCTCCTATTTTGCTTTTAATAATATTAAATACAAAGCTCCTATGAACTTTGGCATTCCTTATTCTTCAGAGAACAACAAAAAATGCATCAAGTTTTACCAGAAGTAAGATTAGTTACAGGAAGCATCATCCATGTAGACACAATAGTTTTTATCTCCTATTGAGGAAGACTAATGACCGGGCTGCTGCACAGTCACTATGGGAGCTCTTTCTAGAGAGCCCGGTTAAATTAGGCATACAAAAATTTGTTTTACTCTGCAAATGGTTAAACTAGTGAGAAATATGTTATTGTGGCAATCATTTATGACATACTATCATCCTAAATTTACATTTTGATTTATTTTTGACATATTTGATATTGCGCTGACTTTCCTTTTTGTGGACAGTGTATATATATGTTACAGCTACATTCCGCAAGCTCATGTTTTGACCACATCGAATTGAGGTTAATTAGACATCCTTTTTACCTCCGATTGGTGACGTTAATGTAAAAG